ACTTACAAGCTATGGTAGAAGTTATAAAACCTATCTGGATAGTATTCGAAGTCTTCAGATTAGAATTTTAAAATTAATAGTACCCTCAAAAAAAAACTCATTACATATGACAAAGAAATTTTTAAAATTTGTAAAATTATGCCTATACTACAATTGAAAAATTACTTTGATTGGATTTTTGCGTAATTTTGCTGTAAATAAGTTTTAAATAAAGTTTTATTAATGCCTAATATTATTTTTTATCAAAACTCAATAGTCAAGTACAATTCAGGATAAGAAATGTTCCAATTTTGCAAACATAGTTTTTTAGTAAAATTTACTCCGTTTGCACATTAATAGCAATAATTTCATATTTACATTAGATACAATGAGAAATGATATCATTTTGAAATCCTCATTAAACCTACATTATTTTAAAGTTCTTGGTCACACAGGTTATCATACTTTTTTTTTTATACAGAAGGCGCGTAAACTTCGTAAAAAATAAATTATTTCTCTGAAAAATGAAGTTTTTTAAAAAAAAAAATGTACATTACTTAGTCATACCATTTACTGCTTATCTAAGGACACAGTTACCGTAGAATATTATGACACCAAAAAACCAAATAAATTCATTCATTTGTAGTCATAGTGCACAAAAACCTAAAATAAGATAAAAATAATTAACTTTCAAGAAAAAAAAAAACATTCCTTAGGTACTACATGGGATAGATTTCTTTTTGCATTTTTTTTGGAACAGTCTTAAGCTGTGCTATAAGCCATTTTAGTATGATACATTCATTACCGGACACCCTGTATGTATTATATGTCAATATGGTCTAATTAGGTATATGCTAGAATTAAGTGTGTGAAATAAATATTAAGCGTAAGGATAGAATATTGAGTCAAACCAGCTATGGTTTTTACAATACTGTATGCTTTAGTAATGTCATTGATATGTGTGTTAAATAAATAAAAATAAAAAACAGAGCTTACGACCTCTGTAACTTTGAGCATCTGGAGCAGAAGCTAGATCAGGTTCAGGAGGTACTTAGAAAAAACGGATACCAAGTGAACCGACGTCGAAAAAATCCAAAAAGAAGATATAGGCATCCGGAGGTGAATAGGCATCCAGCCTACATGCCCTATGTTAAAGGAGTGACGGCCAAGTTAAGTCACGTTTTACGTCAATACTCCGTATACCGACAGTATACACTCCGGGCATAAAGGTAAACAACATGGTGGGTACACCGAAGGATGTTTTACCACTTCAAACACCTGGCGTCTACAAAATTGACTGCAGTTGAGGTAGTTGCTACATAGGCCAGCCGAAGAGAACTGTCACTGAAAGGGTCAAAGAACAAATCGTAGCTGTAAAAAATCGTCAGTGTTCAGCGATTACAGGACATTTACTGGAAAGGGGCGAAAATCACTGGATTGCGTTCCACCGTACGAAGCTTCTATCCACTGATCGTCACTTTCATTCCAGAGTTGTACGTCAAGCGATTGAAATCAATAAACGTCCTAATAATTTCAATCGGGAGGACGGTTTCAAATTATCTATATGGTCAAAATGACCATAATGAAAATGCCAAGTTGTAGCGATACTCCTTGTAAAAATTGGAGTGAAAACAAAAATTTTAAAACCAGTGAGATAACATTCCACCGGCAATTTCCATTTTTAGTTACTATTTCTATTGTTATTCAATGTTTTCTTTTTGTCTCCATATTAGACTCAAAAGTGATGTTCATTTACGAAGACTGATGTTTATCGACAATAAATTTTTACTGAAATGTTTGAATTTCTTACTATGATTTTTGTAATTAAAGTCCCTAAAATATCGAAGCGAAAAGCATTCACGTTAAATTGATTTCTTTTATTTTATTATTATTATTATTATTATTACTAAACATTTTATTTCGAGTAACTTTAACAACTCGTATTTCGGACAACCGTTTCAATTTCATGTCAATTTGGATGTTGCTGTTGCTTGAAGAACATTTTAGACATTTAAGATATTTAAATTCCATTATACTCGTAGATTAAACGTAGAGTATTTTTAATTTTTAAGTTTTTCCAATGAGTTCAAAATAAAAGAAGGTTGGATTGAAGCTGCAGGAAAATCGAAAGATTGGTTTTCTTATTATTATTTTTGACTTTGTTTCAATTTCCATAGCAAATGCATTAAAAAAATAAATAAAATAAAATCGCGGCAGACGCGGGTGCAAACCGCTCCGTGAGTTCTTAGTGTAACGAAAAATGAGTTTCAGCGCCATCTAACGTCTAATAGTTAGCTACTTGTAGTATTTTTACTAAAACGCCACCTTTTGGTGAATGGCTGAACCAGGATAAAAAAATACTGAAATATTGTAATATAACTCTTATTCAAGTGACTGTAAGTTTAATTTTGTTAAATTTTAAAATTGTTTTACGTCGTTTTCACGTTTTAAGCCTTACCCAATCAAAATCTTCAAGTTATGGTAGTAGATAATAGAGCGTAAAATTTGAATTGCACACAAGCTAAAAAGTGGCGACATAGCGTCATTACAAATATCTCCCCTTTTTTGTATATATCTATGAACACGACCGAGCGCGACATGCGCGAGAGCGACATAAAGCGCGGGATTTCTATGCGAGAATAAGGCTCAAGTCACACTGACGCAGAATCGAAGCGACGCGACGCGTCATGATTTTCGCCTATAGTATATTCATCTCTATTTTCCCATTATTAAGGAACAAATTTATGTTATGCAAATATGGAAACGAGCGCGTCGACGCTTGGGTGCAGTCGAGCGGCTTCGCGCGACGACTCGCGTCACTTGAGCGCAGTGAGCGAGTGTCGTCGCGCGTCGCCAAGTGTTGTAGTTGAAAAACAGCGACGCGACGCTTCGACTCTGCGCCAGTGTGAGTTGAGCCTTACAGTATCTCGCGCTTTATGCCGCTCTCTATTGTGTTAGCCCTACGGAGCTATTTTTTTTTAAAGTCTTAATGTTACGTCAATCTTGTGCACGAGTGCAACATTTAAGCGGGCATCGAGTATATAACCAGAAATAGAGACGAAATGTCATTTAATTTGTTTGAAAACTATTTTGCCATGACATCCTGCGCTCCGATTGGCTAGCCCGAGTTCGAAACAATTGACGGATGTCATCAACTGTTTCACTTCAAATTGACCAGTGAACTTGAGCTTTGCTATAGTGGACGAAAATTGCAAAATTACATATTTAATATATAATTACCGATGAATTGTGATCCCGTTTGTATTGTAATTAGATGTTTTGCTGTTTTTCCCACACCACCGAATAGAACAGCACGGCATTGTTAGAGATATTATCTTTATTACAATAAATACAGAATATATTTTGGAATATACGGAGACGGACACACAGGTCAGTGGTTGGCCTGTCTATATTTCAGTGCAAACAAGAGTTGATATTTATAAGAGCTGTATCGCTAAAGTGTTACCAGGAATATATGGCCCTTATTTCGTCTCTATTTCTGGTTATATACTCATCGACCTACCAACAAATGGACATCGGGACAATACAAAAACCACGAAAAAAATGTCCGAGATTAACCTATACAAACGTAGTGACATGTAACGAAATATAAAAAACTAAAACATTTAATTTAAATTGTAACGTCATTGCAGTACTGCCTAAATTTGCTTACAACAATTAAAGGGCCCAAAAACACCACATTCAGCTTCTACTGGAAACTTAACAAAATGCACCATATTTAGCTTCGACTGAAAATTACTTGAACACAAGAGTAATGGAATAGACTTTCTCGTAATTGTTAATTAATTTTTTTAAATATACATATATATATTTATGTCGAATTTTATACAAATTCACTTAAAGGTATAATAAAGAGGTGGGCAGATACATACATAGAAATGTGAAAATAAGCGTGTACTATAAGAAATGTACCGATATTCTAAGTAAACGTAAACTCAAATATCCGTAATTCCGATTTATAACAATACCATTACGCTTTCGAGTAGTTTTGCTTTTTACATAGACAAAATTAGCTTTTGTTTTGTAATCTTCGTAAAAACACATTATGAAAATTCGAGCTAATGTTATTTCGGGCAAATGTATTTTCTGACTTCTGATAGGTAATCCCATGCCGTTAAACGAGTACAACAATATTTTGTTAGTTACCGCTAAAGTTTAATAAAAAGATCATTTTAAAAATAGGATTAGAATCAAAGCAACTCTACAGTTTCTTTGTTCTAAATATTTCAATCGCTTGTGGTTCGAACAATTGAAAATGACCAAGAAGTTTATATAAGCTTCTTGAAACTGACGTAATGGGTCTCTTTCCATCTTTTGCGCATGCAATGAGTAGAAAAAGAGCAGTTTGCTATTCCATTATTTCGTGTGCTTTTGTAATTATTTATGATTCAGTTATATAAATTAAATAGGTACTATAAAACTGTACAAAATAACACTTTTAAATGACAACTATGATAACACAATATATTTGTTTAGTGAAAATATGATACAAAATCCTGTTTTCACACTTTACTGCTGTAATTTTTACAAGTTATTATCATTGGTACTGCATGATTGACAACCGCGCTGTCACTCGAACAAACGAAGACTATTGCGCGATTGACGCTCTGTGCGCGATTTTAACGCCCTACAGGTGCGGACACTTTTTAGCGCGAACTCGACGTCCATTTATTGGTAGGTCAATGTAAGCGGGTGACGAAGTTGTAAGTCACTTTTAGGAAGCAAATTATTTCTACCTCTATATTGTCATCTCTATACTGTCATTTCCAGTTGGGGGAGAAAAGGTTTTCCAAAAATTCTCCATGTGCTCTTACTTTATCATTTGTGAAAAAGTGAGACGATTTGCTTGTCACAATAGTTGATAGCCGTAAAAATAATAATTTGCAAATAAAACCATGTTATTATTAAAATGTTAATTTATTACATGATAAATTGTTATTTTATTAAAAACATTCATTATACAACAGTAACTAAGGATTATTCATAGTTCAAAAACTTTGAAAATAAAATCAGTCTTGTTAAAATGGCCAACTATATTGTAGACAAAAGACATTCATTGGAAATCCTTGGAAAGGTAGGTAATAAGTTTGTAGAAAATAAACTGTTTTCGCTAAATTACAACACATAAAAGAAAAACATTCACAAAATTCCATATAAACCCAAAGTAAATAATTGGCACTTAATATTATTTAAGATAGTATTCATTTATGATGGAAATTAATCGTATTTTTTTGTTATGCCAAATGTTTTCTTATCACAGATATCTCAATTTCCAAGGTTACTCGCGAGCCAAAATTTTAGGCAGTGTGGTAACAAATAAAATGTGCAAACAAAACTACTAACAGAACTAAAAGATAGCGCTAGCTACTCTGGAAGGCACAAGTATATAGTTTAATCTGGTAACATTTCGTAAACCAAAATGCATTATAATATATTACTCTATATTTTATACCTAAGCTTCTTTGTGTTTCGTAGGAAAGCTAACTTCAAGAGTCCCTAGCGTGTTCCAATATTGTCCAATTTGTGCAAATATTTCATGTAGATACAACTACTTACATTCAAGGCATATGTATTAAAATATTTTATGTTAGATGTTAAAAAAATAATGTCAATCATGTTCTTCATTATTTATCTCACCTTTCAATGATATCAAATTAATCCATAATCTCTGTTCATTTGTCATTTGTTTAAAAACACATTCAAATATTGTTTCGTTGGAAACAATACATTTTATTATACTATTATGGAGTTGAATTATTAAATTAGCATATTGATTGACAAATCTAATTCTTGTGCTTCTAATAAGTAACACAATAAATTCTGCTCCTTTGAAAACATTATTAACACACGTTCAACACCTAAATGGCATTTTGTCTTTCAAGATAAAAAGAGCAGAATAATTAAACACCCAACATTACAAAAAAGTGACACAACAATATTAAAGAGTTGTTACATTCGTGCAAGATTGTGCAACAATCACCCGTAAACCTAAATCGAAGCTTACATTCGCACAACTACATTACAGACTAGAAATTTCACGCACGTTGTTGGGTCACACTAGGAGTCGTTTGACACCACATTCGATGCAGAATTTGGCAGTGTCGACGGGGAACTTGCTGCCGCATTCGTGGCAGAAGCGGGATAGGCGTGGCGGCGGCGCGGGCGCAGAGTCTCGCTGCGGCCGATGAAGCGACGTTTCGGACCCGCTAGAGCTTAGCCCAGGCCGCGGCCGCCATGTTGAGCTCCGCCGAGACGACGCACGTGAACTCACATGTTTCTCTGCAATTGATACTCTAATTTTAAAAATTAATTCCTCTACACATTCTCACGGGTTTAGAGCATCGAATATATAACCAGATATAGAGACGAAATGTCATTTAATTTGTTTGAAAACTATTCTGGCAAATCATTACGGTGACAACTGTGCTCCGATTGGCCAGCCCGAATTCGAAACAATTGACGGATGTCGTCAATTATTTTATTTCAAATCGACCAGTCTAACTTGAGCTTCGCTATAATGGTCGAAACTTGAAAAATTACATATTATTTAATATTTAATTACTGATGAAATATGATTTCGTTTGTTTTGTAATTAGATGTTTTGCTGTTTTTACAACGTGTCGCCGCTAGTCCGTATAAAATATTGACAACTTTTATGGCAATTTGTACATTGTCTCTAGCGGTCATAAGAATAATAACATTGTTTGTGTATACAAATATTTTACCCAGCTGTCACTGTCAAGTAAAGCTATTGGTTTATGGTTCCTATAGGGCATTTTCTATTAGATAATTTTACCACAGATTGCGATGACCAATCGTTAAAAATATACCCTATTAATGATTAAGAATGATTTATTACGATGAGTATTCACCGTCGTAATAAATACCAAACAAAAGCTAAATTTATGATTACACTTACCATTTATAATAGGATTTTCTATCTCCTTAGTAGAAGTATGTATTTCAACAGGAGCAAGTGGTTCATTGAGCTCGGCGGACCGTTCCATAGCCAGGAATTCGTCACTCGACATTGACCGCAGATCGTCTTTTTGGCAGCCGCTCGAGTCGGACCCGGCCGGGATATTGTCTAGTGTTACGCCGTTCGATTCTTTTGAGTTGCAAACCGACAATTTCGAAGGTGATATTCTATTTAGGCTGAAAATTTGTATAAAAATAAATCACACTATAACATTTTTTTCTGTGTGTTTTATAATTGAAATCTGCCCTCGAAAAACAACCTATTAAATTACTTTACCAACCTGCTATAAGCCGAATCAGCGCTTTTTCCATTCGGCGTGAAATTTCCATTCGACTTCTTTTCATTCTTCTTCCGTTCAGTTTTGACTCGAGACTGTCGTTTCGCTGTTCCATATTCTGCATTGTAATTGATCTCTTTGTTCATCTGACTGACGTCGTTCCTATCCGTATCATATAAGCTGTCGAATTCTTTTAGCGATTGCATTATGTCTTGCTCTAATTGGTCGGATTTAAGACGAATCTTTCCGCTGTCCGGTTTTGTCACACTCTTCTTTTGGATGGAATCAAGGAAGGAGGAGGAACGTATCACAGACGAGGGTCGAAACAGGGTCTCACTTACAATATTGTTACTGCTAAAAGTAAGAGATTGAGACTTGTTAACTGGAATCAGACCATTGCTACCACTGTGGACTAACTTGGGGGATGAACTCATACTATTCAACTCAGAGGTTCTATTACTATCTAAGAAATCGGCAGGTTTCACTACACGAGTAGTAGAACTGCAAGTTCGTTTGGCCTTATTGTGTTTGTGTATTTCTTCGTCAAATGAAGTCATAAATTCCTCGAGATCGAAATCCTCACACAGAGAATCGTCGTCTCTGATCGAGGTTTTCGAAGCTATACTCTGTTCTAGAGAAGACATAATGTTGTCATATTGCACACTAAGGTCATCTACTATTGCTGGGGCAGTTATTTTACCATTTACATTGTTGTTTGTCTCAATTTTAATATTTTTATTTTGTTTTTCTTTCTCTTTGATACCGTTGTTTTGTATATTATTATTTTGAACGCTGGTATTAAAAGATTCGAATTTAGTAGGGAGATTCTCGGTAGTAAGTAGTGATTCCATACTACTTATGATATCTGGGTTATTCAAAATGGTGTTAACATTAATGGGCAAGTTATCGTTTTCATTAATAAGTCTAGGATCAATATAGGTGCTGTCGGTCATCGATGAATTGTCGTCTGCTAAAATCGCATCGAGATTGACAAAATTTTTCTTTTCATCTCTTTCTATTTTGTCAAGTTTTATTGGTTGCTTTATTGTTGTTCTTTGGAAACTGTGATACATAGAAGTTGCTATTTTTGGGATTTTGTCTTTTGGTTTTGGAGTGCTGTAAGCTGTAGTATTGTAACTTGAGAAAGACCTATTTAAATTACTATTGCGATTAAAGTGAGACTTCTCTGTTGTACTTAATATGTTTTCTTTACTCGATTTAGTACTAGATTTTGTAAATGTTGTGTTTAGTTTGTTTTGACTAGATTTTTTGTCATTTCTATTCAATCTAAACGAACTACACCTACCACCAAATGTGTAGCTGTTGTTGTTGGTTTCATTATTAGTACTACCAAAGGATTTCATTCTCTGTAAAGTGGGTGTCTTTTGGTAAGTTTTGTTTAGGGAATCTTTTATCATTTTAGTATTGTCCGTGCGGAGATAGGATAAGGTAGGTTTTTCTTTTGTAGGGCGAATGATAGGGAGTGTTCTGCTAGGATCTTTGCATGAAGTTTCAAACTTTTTGGCAATATTCGTGTCAGATGACATGAGTTCTTTCATTTGCCTAGCAGCTGAAGCGAAGGGATCATAATTTTCGTCGAACCTGAAAAATGTGTAGTCATAGCATATAGTACTACTTGGTACTTGGTGTAACGGGCTGGTGTATAGTGTTATAAACATATTTTTAACAGCAGCTTTAATTATAAGCTATACCTTGTAACTAGTGATCGGAAAGGTAGAACAGAATCTGTCTTCGGAACTAAAAATTTGGTACTTTACGACTTTGAGCCGAACGTTACATTTTTATGGATGTATATCTTACGTACACTTTTATTAGTTTATTTTGAAGACTGAATTAAATAAAATATAATCAAATTAGATAAATAATTGGTGTTCTCAAATAAAAATCTAAAGTAGTTGTTACACTGTAGTCGTAACGTCTAATCTCGGATGCTGTCGCTATAGTAGAAATCGGCTGTGACATATTAATCTATAACAATGTTTAGAACATTTTAACGATTAAGTATAAAGTATGTTTGTATATGCAAAAGTCAGAATGTTTTTAGATGAGAAGGTCAATATAAAAAAATATATTATGAATATTCTTGTTTTTTTGGCGTCATTGACGCTGTATATAATATAAAAGTTTCGGGCCACTTTCAATTTCATGTATAAATTATTTGTACATGCCTGTACATTGACTTCATTTTACATTTTATTGTATGAGATGAAAAAAATACCCCATACTGTCCCATTTAAAAACATTCTGTATAGAAAATTATCCAAATTGATGTTAGTGGAGAGAATTTATAACTATATATAATTTTGTCATTCGCATCGCGTCCGGTCTGCACCAAATGCAGAGGGCATTGATAGAAAGCCGAAACACGAAGATTGCCGAGACGTCAAGGAAATTAGCTTTAAATTTATGTTCAGTTCACCAGTAACAAATAAAAACAGTTATGTTCACAAAATTTCAGAGAGCAAGAATTAAAAGAATTCACACAAATAACACAACATAAGCAACGTACTCTGTGAATCGAAGCCAAGGGGACTGAAGTCTGAAGTGAGCAAGCCATTACAATGAATGATATGGTAATATGATGCAACTGTCTCAGTATCGATTAGGTAAAAACGTACAAGAGTGAAAGACACATATATGTTGCATCTTTCTATCATTCACATTGTTGCATTTCAAAAAATGTATGGGTGAACAACACCAAGCAAAGGCCTGGCAACATAGCGCTTTGTTCTAAAATCCCGTAGTCAGCTCTATATAAAACATAATAATAACGTCTCAGGTCATTGACTCGAAATAGCTCGATCTATTCCGCTCATTGTTGTAATAGTAGTCGCATTATGGACGATCAAAAATACTAGTAAAGGGATGGGGATGACACAAAATACTCTAACCTTTTGTTTTCAATTCGCGGAAACTTGAGAGGCGGTGCATCAGCGGTAATAGATTGACTATCGCTATTTTCATCATGGTTCTCTTTTACAAATGTTTTATTTTCCTTGTTGCTCTTGCTTTGCTCACCTAGTAACTTGAAGTTCCTGTTGGATTTGTAAATTGCTTGAATCTTCTTTCTGCTGCAGGTTTCTTTACGATTAGGTTTGTTGTTCTCTACTATAGATGGCAGTCGAAATTCACAAGGGACATCTTCTGTTACTTTAATTTCTTCAACGTTTCTTTGCTCGTAAGTCTTTAATTGGTATATAGTTATATGTTCCATATCATTCACTTGTCTTTTGTCGTCGATATTATTTGTCTTTTCAGTTTCTTTGACAGCTTCCTCTATAGTGTTCCCAGCTTCGTCGAGCAGTTCTTTAAGTTGAGTCTTCAAATCCTCCAGTGTATCAGAAAACTTTTGTTTCGTTTCTTCAGGATGCTCGGTTTCATTTTCTGAACTACTCTTTGCTATGGTTTCGATAGAACTAGTCTTAGGAGTATGAAATTTTTCGATTTCTTTATCCATATGGAATATATCTTCATTGAAATTGTGATTGCTTATCATTTGGTCAGTCATGTTGATGAATTCTTCCAGGTCATCAGGATTTTCTGTGAATTTAGTGTACGTATCCCCACTACCATGCCTACACATTATGTCATTTTTCACACTACCTTTGCTTTTGTCTTCTGCAGATTCATCAAATTCTGCACTGAGGTCTCTTTCGTAATCATCTTCATATTCTTCGGCAGATAAATCACGACTAGGTGTTTTTTCCAATTCTTTATCCGTGTTTCTACTATTACCGGTATCAACGCTCTCTTTTATAGCCACATTATCTTCTTCACCCGTGTTTGGTTGGAGTACGTTCAAGTCGATGTCAACTGAAGTCTCGTGGTTATTTTTGGGTTCATTTAAGGACTCCGTTTTATCCAAAATATTTCTATCAGAAATGCTAGTAATGTTTTTTTCAGAGGTGCGAAAATTTCTGTCAGAGTTATTAAAGGTTTCGTTGCTGATGGAAAGGGTTTTGTTATCGAATTTTATAGACAAATCTTCTAAAGAATCTGGGTCAATTCCTAACGCCTGTATATCACATGAGCTGACCATAGTAAGATTTTTATAAAGAAGTTCTACTTTCGGTTCAATAGGGCGTATTTCAGATACTTCTTTATCTTTTTCATGCCTTTCCGCTTGTTTCTTCTGAGCAGGTGGTTTTGGATCTACGTAATCGTGTATAACGCATGGGACACAGGGACACATTAGTTCTGTGTTTATTCCGATAGAATGAGTGGCCTGTTCATTAATTACGTTCAAGGGAACGTCAAGGCTATCTAAACTAACTGTGCTTGCCTTTAATTTCGCTGCAGCATCTTTTTTAGCTGTTGCATTCTTAATTATCTTCTTATTATCAGACACTTCTATATGTGCCCTTTCCTTCACTGCTGAAGGTTTGTGTCGAATAGCTTTGGCTTTACTGGTACTTGGTTTAGGTGAATTTAATTCGTCATTTGTATCAATTTTAGGTACTTTCTCAATCGCAACTTCTCGTTTAGGCTTACTTACGATGTTTGGTAGCTTTTTAGGAATAGGAATTTGACTTCTGTCTTGAAGTTGCTTCTTTTCAATAGCACTGTTTTGTTTTTCTCGTTTTTCTTTAAGTTTGTATTGTCTTTCATTGTACTTATTTGCTATCTCTTCTAATTTCTTCAACTGTTGTTGCTTTTTAATGCTGATTTTATTCTTTGGCTTTTTCGGACTGATGCTCTTCATAAGGTTTGGGTCAGTAGTACTTTGTTGAATGGGTATGTCTTGGGAATTTCTAGGGTAGGGGAAAGGAAGGGAGGTTTAGATTGGAAATTTTGAATAACAAACAAGGAGACAGGAATGGTTTGGCTTTAAAATTCTAATAAATAATGTAACTTAGGCTATGCAAAATACGCGCTTCTTCCTTTCCCCTTATTTGCTGTAAAAATGAATAATTCTGTATTTTACGACGATTAATGACGTACCTAGAACTACTTAAATCTCTGGCTAGTCTGGCTTGTCTTGCTTTGACGTTGGCGTCGCCCGAAGTATTGGAGTTTCGAGAGTTCCTGATGACGGGCACGTGAGGAGATTCGTCGTGGTCGTTGCTTGACATTGATTCTGAAATTAATGAAAGTGTTATGTGAATGCTGCTAAGATATGATCTAAATTGCCTATGATATAAAGTAATTTAAAAAAAACCCAAGAAATGTAGTTCGCACTGCATCTTTACCTGAAGCTCGGAGGCGGCCCTGTTTCGTATAATCGCCGTATTCGCGTGGCGGTGGCGGCGACACACCACGAGACGACTCCACAGACGCCGACCGACTGTTGTTCGATTTGTCACGTGTTTGGGATGATCTGAAACCGACATTGGACACTTATCTAAGGACGGCCTCACTTTACTGCTTCGGTAATAAGGACTATCCTAGTATTTACAAGCGGAAAATCAACACTTTAGACTAAAATAATTGATACTTTTTGTTTGTACTGATGTCCTATCAATTTCAATCATTTGATTACCTAATTCACTTTTGTATTAAAGAATGCATGGTCGATTTTGAAAAACAAAAAACATTTTGTATACATTTTAAACGGCGGCAACCCACACGCCAGGCTTCGAGATTATAGGTCCGAATAGCAAACATTTCAAATCCCTAAAGGCTGTTCGGCCGTATCCACTTCATTAAAGGTGCGGCATACTCGAGAAGTTACTTTTTTCCATTATGTAAACTATATTATGCATATGCTACAAATAGTAAACGCTCCTACCGCTCTCAATGCCGAGGCCAAGTCGTAAAAGGTATAATTGCTATGCTAAAACATACTTTATTAATTCGATTGTAAATGAATGTAAATTATACAGATTATATATTTTAATTGGTGTCCAAAATCATGCTTATGTGACGGATTGTTTCTTCATAAAAGCAAGAAATGAAGTTCGGTCTAAATATTTTTGAACTTTTTTATATTTAGTAATGTTATTGTTGTAATACTCTAATATTATTTATAAATGAATGTTACATTACACGGATATGGAATTTGGATTGGTTTTCAAGGTCGTGCTCACGGTAGAAAAAAAAAACAATAAAAGTGCCTTAAGGCTCGATTACTATAAGAACCGATGTCGCCAAAACTCACACGTTCTTAATTTGAAACACTACAAATTTGATATTGATTGGTCGTAGTTTCAAATTTAAAAGAAATAACAAATTCTGGGTTGTTAATGTAATTTAAACTTTACCCTGTTGGCACAAGTTGAAAGTTCAATACCATCAATACTTATTATTATAAGTTACGTCTTGATATTTTATTGAAATTTTAATCAATGTGCTGCCATCTAGAGGTTAATTGTGGAATGACGACGAATTGGAGTTATTAATTTAGTTCTTCAAACATGAAGCGACCATATTGCAGGGGTATAAGCTTTACTTTCGTTTCTTGTAACAAAAAACATATTTCGATAAACAGAAAATTTAAAATTTAAGATAAGACTTTCCGAGGCAAAATAGGCGCCTTGACATCGAGTTGCGGACAGCAGCCCGTTACACCAAGTACCAAGACTCCGAGAATATGAAAAGCCACCACGGGTAACATTTTTGTTACAGGTAATATTTTTGGTGCGGCTATAATATTTGCACTCAAAATAGCACAATAAGGAATTTTTCTAGAATTTAGGAGAATTTGCACAAAAGAATGACAACCATACCATACAAAGCGAACATGGCGGACTGACCTTCAATAGGTCTTTCGACAACTATACGAGTAGTTGGCACTTCTTCTGTATTTATTGTTCTATGATCATGCTTATGTGACAAGCTGTTTCTTCATAAATTTTGTAAAATAATAGTTAGGTATGTTCTTTTTTTACAATTTTGTTATTTAACAACTAATGTTATTGTTGTATTTATCTAATATTATTTATAAATGAATGTTACATTACATGGATATTGAATTTTGATTGGTTTTCAAGGATATGCATAAGTGAAGAAAACTTTCTTCACAAATAAATTTCATATTGCAGTCAGTTTAATGAATAACTGAAACAACTAAGACTGTCCTTATATGTATAATAACCATTATTTTTTGGGTTGAATACTGAATATTAGTTTGATAAATTCAAACCTAGGAAGGCTATCAGGCCGTAGGCCGTCTCGCTACTGCAGCTGCAGGCTGGCACGCTGAGAAAACCCACTTCCGTGGTCGGTAAGCAGATGACATGTCTGTAGCTAATAAATCTTCATGGGAACAAGATTCGGCTCTATTAAAATCAGTAAACAACATACCGCCGTCCACGAACAGGCGGCGCCTTGTACTGCGTGCGCGCATTGAGGCGCTGCTTGGCGTCGGCGATATGCGGTGGTGGTTGAGTGGGTGCAGCGGGGAGAATCTTCGCTTTGTCCGCGCACCATTCTACGTGCCGTTCGAATGCTCGCACGCCGAATGCGCGATTGCAGTGCGGACACCGCTGCAGTTCTGACGATGGCTGATACAACACAATTAACAGAGTATCTACTATATTCACATAACGTCTGTTAAGTATTTAAACTAGTATTTAATCAAGCATTCAGTCTTGAATACCTTTAAGCGTTGAAATACCTCCCCTTTTTTAAGGGAAGGTATTTCAACGCTTTCGTTTTATAAATATCATCCTTAAAATGAATGGTCGGTATCGATGCGTTTTGTAAATATAACAGTTGGGATGCATTCGAAAAGCACGGCCACGCCTGACACGCCTACAGCATTGCGACAATATCACAATTACCTATAGACCGCTGGGACAGCTGACGTGCAGACAAAGTGCAGTCGCGCCGACTGCATCCAAATTGCTTTACAACTATTTCACCTTTTATTTGCAATACTTGTGATGCAGACAAAGTGTAGGTTCTATAATAACCAACATTTATTGAGCTAGTCATTCGTTTGTTAATAAGTTTTCATTGTTCTATAGTTTACAAGGTGGTAGGCAAATGAAAAAAGGCCAACGATAAACAATGAAAAAAGATGTTGCACGTCATTAGAGTCATTACTTATATGTTGGATTTAAGCATATTTTAACATTTTGAAGCAGTAGTTTTCAGACAAAACACTGTTCATTTGCATAAGACTATAAGACTGAGACATAATATATACCTGAGGACGACTCAAGCATTGTGTTGTTATGTTATTGTTACAAGGAATAGGCAGACGATCAATTACAATTTCAAATACGTGACTATTTTTGACAGAGCTACGGTCAGACGCGTAAATTGAGAAGTATTGGAGTTTTTAGGTTTTCGGGATTGTCAGACATATATTTCGGGCCATTTACAGGTCCCATAGCCACGGCTGACTGTCGAATTAATTGAGAAGTATTTATTACTAATAAATAAGTAGTAGCAGCTTAAACTTTGGTTCAAAAATAACTTTGCCAATTATAAGAATTTGGTGCCTGATTTTTTATTATATATTTTTCTCCAAAATTATCTTACTCGATGAAAACTAAAGATGTGGAAAATGATACACAGTCGTTCAAAAGGTGTTGAATCTGATCTTAAAAATATCTAGGCTGCATCATCCGAGAAATACAGAAGCTTAAACCTTTTCAGTTTTTTTACAGATCTTGCGAGAACGTCTGCGGACTGTTAAAAACCTGTTTACTTTTACTTCCTTCTTACCTTGGCAATGGCGGTTTTGACTGACACTGGTTTGGGTTTCGGCGTGGCTTTTGCTGTATTTGGAGGGCTCTTCTCGAGGAAGGGGCTGTTCTCCGGCAGACCGAAGTTTTTTGGCAGGAATTGCTCCAAGTCTGTGCCTGAAACATTTAATAGAATGTCTCGAGTGTGGTTGCTTTTTGCGATAATCTTTAAAACGCACGTAAATGTTTAGGGATTGCAAACGTGCACTGACATCCCCAGAATAAAGCTTACATGTTCTCAGTATTATACCGAAATTTTTCGAAATTATGTTTTACTTGTAGAAGAACATTTGATTTGATTTATGTATAAACATTTGTATCATCAAATACTCACACAATGCTGAAAAAAAAAATATTCCCGTGGTTTGGACGCTACTAGATAAAAATCGATATAAAATTTCGACAAAATCTCTACCCGTAGTAAGATATCTATGCCCGTGGTAATAGATAGATAATTGTATTGATTCGTAATCATGAATAAAGATTGTAAAAATTTAATCAAATTTAGCATTTTGAAAAATTTCATAATAAAAAGTCAATGGTAAGATATCTTGACCCATAATCATGAATAAAGATGGTAAAAATTTAATAAAATTTAGTATTTTGAATAATCTGATAATCAAAAATCCGTGGTAAGATATCTTGACCCGTAATCATGATGAATAAAGATGGTAAAAATTTAAGAAAATTTAGCATTTTGAATAACCTAAGAACCAAAAATCTGTTAGAAATGATGATAGGATGGATTTTAGAAATGATTATTTAATTGAAACATTAATAGTAGTGCGTGCATGACAAACTAATGCTTTTGATTAGCAAGAAACAAGAGTAAGTTACAGAAGTTGCACATAACGAACAAATCATGTACAGAAAGTATATCACGAACACTATTTCCATACATAATTATCCATAGCTGTGTCAGTAGCTTTTGAAGTAGACACATGCCCCTTTGCTTAATGCATATTCGTCAAGAAAAAACTCGACTTAAAATTTTGCCACAATATAATTTTACCTGTGGACCGACATAATTTTATTGTATAGTAAGTACAGTCTCTCGTTATACCTCAGAAGTGCTTGTAACAAACACATCACACGTGATCACACGTCACATTCACTCGGGAGAGTGACATACATAAACATGCAATCAAAAGATTCGATTACAAACGTCTATAATTCATTCGTCTTGACCATAGGAAAATTAGTTTATTTCATCTAATTTGGGTTCTATGTTATATGATAATTGTTAAGATTTATTATGTCATCATAACTATTAAAATACTTTAAGGTTCAATTTACGTTGCCGCGGAATAGATTTAAGCGCTTTTTGTAACCGTAGCATCATGAGCTTTACTAACGTATAAACGTACAAATAAGATACGAGCTAAAACACAAGTCGCGCGTCTTTCGGAAATTTTCGCGCAGACTCGGGAACTCCGCCGCCGTACCGTATATATCTAGTTTGTGTAATGATATGCTGTGCACAATTCTCTACAAAAATCGCTTCCATTAAAATGTAAATTGAGCTTTTCAGGTTTTATTGTCGAGTAGCCCAAAATTTCGACACATTAACATCCAATCATGATACAACTAGAAAGCTGAGGAGTGAGTTTTGTCATTTCTGAATTAAACCTGGATATTTTTAAGATGAGCGTGCACAGAAGGTACCTCTTTTAGGCGAGCGTCTACCGTCCTCGTCCACGTCTTCACATATCACATATCGTATCGTATCATCGAGATTGTGGACAAACAATAACTTTCCTTACATTTAAAAAAAGAGCTGAGGATCGTGTAATCGGACGCAAGCAATCTAAATACCCCCTTTCTGACTTCGCGTTTAAGGTACTCGGTAAAAAATTCGTGAATAATTACTATCTGTTTTTTACTTGAGAACGGAGCAAGCCGCTTTATAGGGTTTGTAGTAAGTAAACAGAGCATTTCCCAATACCATTATACCAAAGTGTTTAGCAAGGCACAAACTTAGTGGGCGTTCGTTGCGAAATGCCCGATATACATACAAATATTAAATATCCATATGCAAACGAGTCTTGTTAGAATTGGAGTGTTAAGACATAGATGTTTGGCAACACATTGTGTTCATATTAGCATACATTTTCTTTATTAAGTTATTATTATCAGTGAAGTATGTGCAAATTTTCAATAAAGAGCGAAGAATAGAGAAAGTAAACGCGGTTTTGTATGAATTCTACACTAGAAAACGGAATTACTTCTGAAAATCGGACAGCTAACAAAAATCGAAAACAGGTTTTAGTTTTCTTCATCATTATTTTCATCATCAGTAATGATCCTAAGCATTAAAATTAAAACTTAAATGATTTTTTCTTGTTTGTCATTAATTTGGAGTTCTTGCAAAAAAGTCAAATTAAATTTGACCATTCAGAAGCTTTTTACTGTTGTATTTCATAAATTGTTGTATGGGTACGTTTGAGGAAGACATTAAGAATTATTTTGAACGTCAACTCTGTAGAAATGTCGTTAATGGAGTCTGAAATCACAGGATTAAATTCAAGTTTTTCCGTAGCGATCGGTCCAATTTTGTTAATTGCCCGATTTTATTGTCCTTAAGTGCATTCAACATGTATCTTGAAGTTTTCTGACTGATGACAGTTCGCAATCGTAATCAGCTGTCATAGTCATTTACGAATAAAGTTATACAAACTGTCACTTTTTCAAATTGCAAATTTGAACGCTATGTAAATGATATAAAGTACAATTTTGAACAAAGTATTTTGACTTGTAAATGATATAAGGTAGGTACAACTTTTAACAAAGCATTTTAACTGTTTGTATAACTCTAATTGTAGTTCATATTATTTAGGCGACAAACAATATATTAATATGAAAATATGGATACGGAACAGCTGTGTTAAGACAAGATAGGTTGTATATAATTATGTAAATACACACGTTTTAGTGGTGTGTGTGTGATCAGAAGGTCGAATCACTTCAACATGTTAGTTTAAAGGCATCACAATGAATGTCATAGTCGTAGTATTAGTAATGCGATGAATATATGAATATCCCACTCACCCCCGTCGACACCGTGCGATGCGCTCAGCCCTTGTTACCCACAAAACAAATACACTTATCAATACATGTCAATTAAGTAAAATATTGAATAGCATGCTAAAAATTAAATAAACTTAATAAATACTACAACTATAAGGAAACTACGTAGAATTTACACAAATAAATATGTAAAACAAGTACCAAAACTCAACAACAAATTTAAAATAATCACCTTGATTTGGGGATCATGCTATTTCAATAATGTCCTTAGTAACAGCTATAGCCACTACCACCACCACCACATGAATAGTATTGTATGAAAAAATGGTATACTAAAAGCGACTACACGAGTGTGAAAGAGAAATTGTATAAAATTATCAAATACGGCTTATTCCCAGTTTGTTCCCACTGGCGCAAAATGAGAAAAAAATTCCATATGTTACCAGGTGGTGACAAACGGGATAAAAAGTCCCAGTTGTAGTGACCACCACTTGGTAACACATGGGATTTTTTTTTCCCATTTGTGGCTACTGGGAACAAAGCCAATGGTGACAACTGGGAATAAGCCTTTGCAAGGAGTGTTTGACCAATAGTCCTACGAATATTTATATGAAATAAAGATTTAATTTGAAAATTTTCGACAAATCTCTGACACACTGTTTCTTAACTTATCAATGAAAAAATATTGACAAAACAAAAATCACCTTCTCGTCTCTGTCTCGATGAGTCGAACGTCTTTCTTTTTTTCACTGCCATCTTTTCGCAGATCTTTACATGTTTGGACAGTGACTGTGGAACGAAGGTGCGACAACAGACCGGACAGGGCAACAATGGTTGAGGACCGGTAGGTTCTGGAGGTACTGGTATTATAGGTTGTGTGGGAACTGGAGGTGAAGGAGGGGGCCCCGGGCGGCTCGGCGGCGGAGGCGTGCGGAGAATAGGCCGGAATGTCTCATGAGTTTGAGGCTCCTGTGATGGTTCGGGTGATGGCGAACGTGAAGACTTTGAAGATTCTTGGTGGTGTCGTTTGCCTGGAAAAGAGGGGCATACATATATTATTTCGTTTGGCATAACGCGCGCGGTTTTCTATAATTCTGCAACAGCTATTTACAAACAGTAATTTCGGAGTTAGTGAAAAATCTTTATTTTATTTATAATTATGGAATGCACTAGATTCTTTAGTTAGTTATAATTACAAATACGCGTTGTTCATGTTGACCTGGTAAACTAGCTTAAGTTTTAGCATTTAAATAAACGTAATGAGGAAACGCATATTCATAGTCATCTTGGAAAGTATCGCAACAATGTATACGCTTAGTATTATTCACTGCAATTTCTTATCCTGCACGTCCATGCTTGTTGTTATGATAATTTGTTGTTTTTGTTTACTAAAAATGTGAACGCCGTGACTAGAGTGTTACATGTTGCAGCAATATAGGACCACACTTTAACAAAACTACACGTTTTAGGTTACATCAGTTAATATTTTTTTTACTGAATCTTGTGAAAAAGAAACATAATTACATATAAACGCGAGGCATGGAAAGTTGGTCATACAATTATATTTTTTTCAAACTATTGATATAATATATATAATATTCTTTTATAAAACGGAGTACCTAAGTGAGCCATTTTTTTTTAATTTTATGGTATAACTGGAAACCTGGCGTCAACAACACGCAAGGGCAAGTGGCAGGCAAACATGACGCAAGCGGTTACAACCTCCATATTGATTAGGTATATTACGACCTAGGTCACGCGATCTCATGCTACGATAAGTTTTTTCGTAAAATTTCGCGATCCCATGTCTCTAATAGCCTGGCCTAAAAAACTTAAAAATAAAGTACCCTTGACCAGTAGGTTGATACGTTCGAGGTCGCAGGTGTTTTAAGAATCAAAAACAAAACACACCTGCATTTAAATTCTAAGTGATTATACTGGTGTTTTGCTTAAAAAATGCAATGGATGAAATACCTTGACTGAATTGAATGTGTAAAGGGTTAAACTAATCGTCCTACATAGGCGCGTGTTCTACTTGACCCTGCGTTCAGGTTTGTGTTTTTAAAAGCAATTTTCTTCGCTGACAATTGCTTTAGACCTGTCCAACGTGCATGTCAAATTAGGAAAACAATACCCGTGTGATGTAACCGTTAATTAAGTGTTTGACACGGACTGTGTGTGGGCGAAAGGCGACAAAACAAGTGAAGGGGAACTAAAACAACAGGATGAGACGAAACTATATTGTTAACGGAACATACCGCAGCGGTTTTAAACGAGTTAGTAGTTTCAAATGAGACAAAGAACGACACAATATTCCGCCTGAATATAGAATAGTGTTTTATGTAAAACATGTCTTGACCCACATGATCAACACGGTTTTTTTGGATGAATTTTAAGCCCTAAAAGTACACCTGGGCTTGTAATTTGAATTCAGTCGCTAACGTGTACTCGAAACACAATTGTTAGAAGTTCCGTTTTCCATCAATAACATTAATTAGATGTTAACACAATAGTAATGATAAAGATATAGATTCAATATACAGAAAACTCACAGAGTATCATTTCCCTAGCGTTTTGCTAATTAAATTCTAAATAAGCGTTGATTGGCTGCTTCCTTCTAAAGTCCGGCCGGTCATTCCGGTTAGGGAATTGACATAGACATACTTTACATTTATGTAATACTATATACTACTATACGCTAAATTAACACGGCCTCGCGAAACTTGATTGGGGACCTTGAATTTGTCGAAGTATTTAAACAAAATCTTGCTTAAAATCCGACAATTAATTTAGGAGATGGCATATCTAATTTTCAACATGACTGGAGTTTAAGGAGTTATTTAAAATTTATCTATAAAAAGAATAATATTTAAACATTAATATAAAAAAATTATTGGTCATAAAAATAATTAGAAGATGGTTATTGTATCCTGGTGGTCGTGGTTTATTCATAAAGGCCTAAAGTAAATTATAAATGCTGAAGATAAATCGAGGAAATCAAGCGCAGCCGGGTGGCTGAACTTTATGCGCGCGCGCATCCCGATCGAGGGCGTTCGAGTGGCGCACACGTCTCGACTACTAATTGATTTTACTCCATTGGATAAAATGCTTTCATTCTAAAATAGTACTGCTTATCTCAAATTTGTAAGAAGTTTAACAGAATGAATGGACAATTTTGTTAAGGGTGGTTTTAAAAGTCGGTTAGTTGGACTAATTGCTTTAAGTGTAATTATTATGTATGTTTCAGAGATTTATAGCATGAACGCTGTAACTAGTATAATTGAAGCGATCAATTCATTTCTGCAAAACTGCTAAAGTTCTTGGCGATCTGGATTGAACCGATACCAAAACAATTTTCACTTTACTTAAAATTGTCATCTTAAGGACTTCCTCTCAGCTTTTCCGTTTTGTCCCCAATATTAACGAGCAATAATGCAATGGGCTCCACGGAACATTGAACACGTGTCTGGTAACATGAATCGCTACTGGTTTTATAATAATGTTGGCCAAACAAGCGAAGCGCTGTCTGCATTCGCCAACAGTCTTACATTGAAATACGGTTCGTATAATAAGACCATAGAGGCAAATTCTCTTTAACCGGATTCTTTATCGATTTTCTGAATATATTTGTAGAGGCATCTAAACTTATTATTAATATAAAACTTGAAATAAACCTTTTTTAATTAAATTTTTATTGAATTGATATTCAATTATTTTTTGTGAAATTACTCCACTAGTTTGTTATAATTATTAATACAAAGATCGAACACCCAGAAAAAACACTCAGAAAAAATTCCTTCGATCCGGTCAGATTCGAACCGACGTCTTCTTGCATACCGTGCCAGACGCTATACCAACTAAGCCACGGAACGAACCAACGGACCTCACGAATTTTTCTATGTGCTTGCGTCGTGTCTATCTCTTCAAATTGAGTGTTCGATCTTTGTATTAATAATTATAACAAACTAGTGGAGTA